TCTTTTGTTCTTGTATATGTATATATATCTATCTATATCTATCTATCTATATATATATAATGCATAGACAGAGAGAGAGAGAGAGAGAGAATTTTGAATGAATGTTGAAAATTTATATAAGATAAGTTCTGCCATGTGAAAAATAGTAGGAAAATACTGGTAAAGGATTTTGCTTTTGGTAAGTTTAGTGAGGACTTGAAATAGTTTAATCCTTAAATCTTATCGTAATATGTCTCTCCATCTACTTTTTTCTCCTCTCTATCTCTCTTTCTTTGCCTGTCTCTCTCCCCTCCCCTCCCTCTCTCTCTCTCTCTCTCTCTCTCTCTCTCTCTCTCTCTCTCTCTCTCCCTCTCCCTCTCCCTCTCCCTCTCCCTCTCCCTCTCCCTCTCTCTCTCTCTCTCTCTCTCTCTCTCTCTCTCTCTCTCTCTCTCTCTCTCCTCTCTCTCTCTCTCTCTCTCTCTCTCTCTCTCTCTCTCTCTTCCTATCTTCCCCCTTTTCCTTCTCGCTTCTTTTTCTTGCTTACCTCATTTTTTTTTACTTATTTCTTTTTTTCCTTCCATCTCTCTCTCTCTCTCTCTCTCTCTCTCTCTCTCTCTCTCTCTCTCTCTCTCTCTCTCTCTCTCTCTCTCTCTCTCTCTCTCTCTCTCTCTCTCTCCTATCTTCCCCCTTTTCCTCTCTTTTTTCTTGCTTACCTCATTTTTTTTACTTATTTCTTTTTTTCCTTCCATCTCTCTCTCTCTCTCTCTCTCTCTTCTCTCTCTCTCTCTCTCTCTCTCTCTCTCTCTCTCTCTCTCTCTCTCTCTCTCTCTCTCTCTCTCTTTTCTTCCTATCTTCCCCCTTTTCCTTCTCGCTTCTTTTTTGCTTACCTCATATTTTTTACTTATTTCTTTTTTTTCCTTTCCATCTCTGCATCAACATATTTATTTCTATCTCCATTGTTCATGCCTTTTTTCCCATCTCATTTTCTTTTCATACCCCCTCCTTATTTTGAATGTGACTGTGTTAGGTTCATGAATTTGCACTGTAAAGTATGAAATTATTGCAGTTATTTGCATCGTGTATACATATTCTTGAGGATATTACCCATAAATGCATGGTAATTAATTTGTGGGTGTGTTTTGCTCTCATTATTTGCCAGCTGGGATTCATTTGCATAATGAATATCTGTTATATAATCTTTAATACCATGTCATTATTTTCCATGCAATTCTTACAAAAAGTCTACTTCCACCCCCCACATCTCTCTCTCTCTCTTTCTCCCCCTCCTTCCTCTCTCTCTCTCTCTCTCTCTCTCTCTCTCTCTCTCTCTCTCTCTCTCTCTCTCTCTCTCTCTCTCTCTCTCTCTCTCTCTCCTCTCCCTCTCCTCTCTCCCTCTCCCTCTCCCTCTCCCTCTTCCTCTCCCTCTCTCCCTCTCTCCCTCTCTCCTTCTCTCTCTTCCTTCCCTCCCTCTCTCCTTCTCTCCTTCTCTCCCTCCCTCCCTAACTCCTCCCTCCCTCTCTCCCTAACTCCCTCCCTCCCTAACTCTCTCCCTCCTCTCCCTCTCCCCTCTCCCTCTCTCTCTATCCCTCTCTCTCCCCCTCCCTCTCTTCCTCCCTCTTAATACCATCTCTAATCTACCAGGATATTAAACCAACTTTGATAAGGAAGTTAGCATGCACAATTGCACACGGCATTTACATCAGATTTATCAGATATTTTTCAGGCAACATGTACTCTTATCGACTGAATCTGGACTTTATTATTATAGCACTCTCTTCCCTCGGCTGGTGTCGATTGTCGGACTTTATGGTATTAAGAACCAGGAATGGGTACGGAATGTCAATGTGTAACCAGCACGTTCCCTGTATTGCTAAGATTTCTTTCTCTTTCTCTTTTCTTCTCTTTTCTCCCTCTTCTCTTCTCTCTCTCTCCTCTTTCTTCTTTCTCTTCTTCCTTTCTTTTTTCTAACTCTCCTCCTTTTCCCTATCTCCCTCACTACCCTACCCTACCCTCCTCTCTCCTCTCCTCCCCACCCCTCCCCTCCCCTCTATCGCCCCTTCCCTCTCTCATCACAACCTCTACCCTCCTTCCGCATCACCCCCCTCCTCCCCCCTTCACCCCTTCACCACCCACCATCCCCCCCTTCAACACACATCGTCCACCTCATCCCGGCAGTCAAGTAACCCAGACCAAATGATCCCCCTCCGAAAGCCAATGTACTGAAGAACTAATTAAAACACGCCGAACCGCCTGTGTTTAGGAAGCCGATACTGCCGTTGAACAAGTATTAGCTCGGCGGCAGAGTAGCAAAGAGGAGCCAGAGACGCACCAGGATCGCCATCCAACCACGGACTGAAAACGGACGGGAACTAGAGCCAGCGGACCGAGTAGCGTGGTAGTATAGAGAGGGTTGGACGCTGTGGTATGGGGAGGTGTTGTGAAGTGTGTAGGTGTGAGTTTTTTGTTGTGATTGTGTAAAAGGGGGAGGGGATTATTCGAGGTTTGGTGCTTGCTCTGGAGT